TCAGCAGGACTGCTCAGGTGCTTAAACACCTTCCTAATTTGGGGGATTGGGGCCTAAAACTGCTAATTTACTAGGCTGGATAGTAGACAGTGGAGTTCTTTCCAACAGTAAATACAAGACAATGATACAAAATTTATGGCAGTCCTTGATCGTCATGAAAAACCCCATTATCTTATCACAAGGAGCTACACTAAACACTACTGCATGCAGACCCTCCGACTAAAACAAAACAGGCCAGACGAACGGGAATCACCTTGTTTCAGTAAACACCCTGCAGCAGAAGGTAGGTGCTCACTGTTATTGAACAGCTGCCATTTGATTAGCTCGAGTCTGAGACCACATTATTTATTATACGAATACGCCTGTTTCTGACAATAGGACAATTTATTGTAATTGATGTAAATAAGGGTCACCCACCTTTTATTCTTATTAGCCGAGCCTTCCTTTCAGCTGGGGTAATTAATTTGTGAACATAACTAAGTCTTTTATGTGAAGCATCGTTTTTCCCCACCCCTGTAATTTTGTTACCAGCAATTCACCACAGTTCACAGCAGAGACAAGGCTTGCTCTGAGAAGCCAGTGATATCCTGGAAAGAAGGGAGCTTCTCTCCAGGTCTGTATGAGAAACTACAATCAGTCACTGAATGATGGAATCAGTTGTACTATGCAACAGCGGCTCTCAACTGGCCCTCTGTGAATCAAAACTAATAAAGTCTTGCTGTGGCAGTGCCCTTAAAAATAAAACACATTTCCACTGGACTGAAAATTCTCTAGCTTAGTAAAGCAACAAGCAATTCGGAGGAGCTAAGTTCAAGCACCATTTGCTGCAGTCTGAACTGGAAAGGTTTCTTCATAGCAAACCTGTTTTATATTCATATTTTGCACTGTTATCATGAAGTTGAATCTGAAAAGGGGGGGGATTGCAAACTTCTAGCTTTGAGAGTAGCTTTTTGTGACAGCTGGAGACACTGACCTCGTACTGTCCAAATAGGAACACTTGCATTGAGTGCCACTGTCCTTGGTACTAGCGCAGTGCTGGAACGCCGGACTCCCAGTATGAAAAAGCCAGTGTGTATCTGAACACCGAACTCAGGGGAAACAGGTCCTGTTAGTTTAGTGAGTTTGGCAAACAGCCTTTACAGACATTTGACTACATAAGCCAAGAAGAGTCCCATCAAGAAACGCACGTTCATTTACAGCGAAGAGTAAAAGACACAGCAGCGGACATTTGATAGCCGTTGGGTAGGAATTTCACCATCATGTGCAGTGATGTTGCTGTACAGTTATATAAGGGAGATGAGGAGCTAAATCCATAATGCATCATTTTGAAAATGTATCCCCTTCCACCTGCAGTTCTAGGAAAAGTCTGAGGGGGATGTGTCTAGTATTTACAGTAGGGTAGGAAAGACTGCAAGCTTTAAAATCCAACTGCCTGTAATAAAGCCTAGAGACAGGTAAAAAAATTCAAACATACAATAATTGTATTTCCAGTTTTTCCTAAATATTAGCCAGCTAAGTACATGACTAACATGTATTATTATACAGAATCCATAATCCTATAAATTAACAATGGCTCATTGCAGTCTAACAATCTGATTCCTTCCAAGTCAGTAACTTCTTTCTCCTTGAATATTACTGACACTTGTTGTGCATCGCAATATGTAGCAGCAAATAAGTTAGAGAAAGAACATCTTGGTCCACATGTTAAAAATATTAGCAAAGGAAAGGTTAACTTGCAAATACGCATTTCAAGTATGTGCCTAAGGGGTGGTTTTTCTGTGTAAATGTACACAGCCTAGTATTTCTGATCTCTCTCTGAAGTGGCAAGAACTGTTTTACCTCACAGGTTGATTTATCATGATCAGCAAAGCGGTCTGCTATCAAGTGCCAACCAACCTCAGCTTGGGAGACTGAAATGACATGTTTTGTGCCACGGTGCACACATTTCTCTAGTTATTCCTGGAAACTTCAAATCATGGCTCAAACTTGCTAGGGAAATTCTTCACAGGGGAATGTGTTATAGTGGCTTTGACCTACTGGAGTGCAAGAAAATTGCACAAATGAACATTTCAGAAAACGCCACCCACTGCTCCCAAAAGCCTTCATGCTTATCCCCCAACATCAATAATCCAAGGGTCATGTGTCACTCCAGTCTGACAGTTTGTCTTCAGCACAAGTCCTTTCAAAGCAGGTCTGGCAAAATAAGGCCTGGAGGTTTCGGCTCCACACAATTGATCCAGAAGTTTGCACAGCTCGCATGGTACTGGTGCCCACCATAAGCCAGTTTAAAGTTATCCGTTTCCGAATTAAAGGCCTAGAATACAAATGGAAAGAAAGTGTGACAGTCCCATCTATGCAGCAATGTGAGAACTAAGAGATGACTGGATCCCTGTGCATGTGTTCACCCTAAGAAAGCACAGATCTGTCAGACCTGCAGCCTGCCCCAAATTTCATCTTCAGCTGCACAAGTAAAGCAGCCAGCAACAAGATGCCATTTCAGTCCTGCAGAAATCTGGGCAGACAATGTCTTCAACTGAAACAGCTTAAGCCGTGGACTCCAGTAGCTACACACAGAGCAAAATGAGCTGTTTGGTATTATGTTTGACCTCAAGCCTGGGAACTGATTCAACTCATTGCATGCCTCCCCTCCTACTTTAGAGACCAACTTGCTGGGCCATCCCATAACTACTGCACTTCAAGTTTATTTCATTTACCAGGGCAAATTCTGCTGTGATTCAAGAAGGTGCAACTTCTGACATCAGAGTTATGTCTGGCTATTCCAGGGTTGAATTTGGCACCACCTTCTGTAAGAAGCAGCTACTTTAAGAGGAGTTTTCTGAATAAAGAGTGTGAAACTATTAAAACAAGCTGAAAAGTCCCTGAAGGGGTTTCAGGTTGTCATTGCTAGTAGGAGGCAGTGCTCAGATGTCTGGGTAAACAAGAAGTTACAGAGTACTTTTTTGATTAAGTCCCCATGGGATAAGATGAAAGAGTTTTCTTGTTCAGTAACAAAACAGCTAGAAGCTTTTCACTGCTTATTCTCCATAGGTGCATGGCTCTAAAACTTCACAGTTATCCGATGAAAACATATTCTTTAAAAAAAAGAAATCATTAGCAAATACTCCCACTATGGTTATCTAAAGCATATGGTTGCCTTTCTGTTACCCCAAAGCAATAGGTCGAGCATGACTTTGAAAGACAAACAGGTCAAAGAGTGCTGCACACACAAGCTGCAGTTCCCCCTTCCACAACAAAGATGCAGGCAGCTAACAAGAGTTCAAGAATTCACCACGCTGAACTGCCTACTACGCAACAAAAGTCGCACAAAACAGGAAGCTATTCACAAGGTACAGGCATGCAGATGAGACACACAGGAGGGCTCTAGTATGCGTTAGTTGATCAAATCAAATGTTATGGTCACAGAGACGACTAAGAGAAAGATTCATGATTGGCACAATTGAGAATGACAGCTGGAGGCTAGTCACCAGTCTTGCCTTCCATACTCAGAATTTAGAGGATGAATCTATAAAGAGAATCATTTTACTGCTTCGTACTTTTCTAGGACGCTCCTCCACAGGCTTCTCTTCTTTCTGAAATAATGTCGAAACCAAAAGGTCAACAGAAGTCCCCACGTATACGAACTGGTCGGCAATTAGTTTGGTTTTCGGGCTCCCCTCCCAAGTACCCTCCTTGCTTCCCTCCTGGCGTTCCTCAATGGCACGTTTCATAAGGGAAAATCATTACAAGTTCCCTTACATCTTGGCATCGGAGCGTTTCTCACAGTGCTCCTCACATGCAACTTCTCCCCTCAGCTCTTCAGACTTACCGGCCACTAGTCACACGCTTGCTGAGAACTGACAATAAAGGGTTAACATTAATTTCCATACAATGTGGTTGTAAAAATGCTTGAGCCCCATCCTTTGCTATTGTAGGTGGTGAACTGCAGCCATGACATTTAACACAGGCAAGGCCTAAGTGGTGAGTTCAAGTAGGAAATGCAAAATGAGCTTAACAAAAGGCACCGTTACTTACTTTACTTCTAGAATCTACATTCAAGAGGCACACCCCACAAGCAAGATCTTGGGCGTTTTTAATGCCTGGACGCAGCATACAAGAAGAGAAATCCAATGAGTTTTCATCTGGCTACAGAAATAACAAGATAGTTGGATTTAGGCAATTTCAAGAACTGAAGAAAAAAAAAGTCACACAGCATAATGACTTAAAATTACCAATGTGCCTGCTCTGGAGGGGGCATGAAACTAAACAGTCATGAGGGAGAGATAATGTACTACACAGACCCATAAACTGATGCAGTTTTATCACAGCTATTAGCGTAGTTTCAAGCCTGCTATGTAATCTCCATTGACATTAGTTTATAACATTCAAACACTTGAAAAAAAGCCTAGACAACAGAGCAGAGAATACTGGAGTTCCACGCTGCCACTTCAAAAGGGAATAGATGTGAAGTGAGAGGGCAGGTGCCTGCTGCTATATTTCACATACTTCCTATTAAAAGATTCCAGTAAATACAGGTAAGATGACAAATTATCCCTACAATTAAGGAGGTGGCAATAGGATAATGGGCAGTATAACTTCCAGTTGTGTTTAGGGTGGTATTAACTGTGTTAGCGCTTACCATTCAAGTTTCCACAGCAACATCTAGTCATTTATTAATGATGAATAATCAAGGATTTTTCTTAAATTGGAACCAGAGCGTAAGTACAACACAAAGTATTCATAGTCTGGTCAAACCCCGCAATGCTCAGGAGGACTAACCATTTCATTGTATATGATAGTGTATGGTAAAGAAAGAGCCGAGAGAATAGTTTTGCACATAACTAGTAAAAAGAAGAGAGCTTCAACTATGTGTCATAGCTCTCTTGATTAGTTTTACAACTAGGCAACAAAAGAAATGGTCAATGTAAAATTATGCATGGGGGGTATATACACACTAAAAGCATTATTTGAAGGCTATCTGTAAGTTGTAATGTTTAAACAATCAAAAGCAATGCTTAGAAGTACAAAGGCAGAGGCTTTTAAAAAAATTGTGAGATCATAAAACAGATGCGTACTCATAATCCATGCCCTAGGTATTCTAATCACGCTCCCAGAGATGAACAATTTGAGAAATAATTGGAATCCTAAAAAAACCTTTAATCTTTAAGTAGATCAATCAAATTAATAAAGGCCCTCTAATATTTGTTTACCAAATGCATGAGTGAAGCAAATGAGAAGGTCATACAGCAATTTGCAATGGAAAACCATAAGGCTATGCATAAAATTACCTTGTAACAAAATTAATCCTTTAAATGATAAAATTAACCTTTTCAAGCACATGCCTGCGAGCTGGGGGATTTCTATGGGCTTAACTGGCGCTTCGGCACCATTTAGAAACCACAGTTGTAAGTTTTATGGGTAGGTGTTTTCCATGTATTACGTGCACACAAACCCATTATCAGCCCTTTTAAACTAAAGCAAGGCCAGTCAATTGTTATTGATTTTAAGTTAAAATAAATACCAATGGAGATTTTGGGCAAACATGCTGCATTCGGTGCTGCAAGACAAAAACCTGAATATCTCGTTTGGGACTCATCCTCCCTAAATAGCAGAAACCATATTTTAGTTAATTAACTGTACTTGACTATGCTTCAGCAATATTAAGCAACTGAGGAGCAACACAAGGGTTAGGAATTCAGGTATTCAGGACAATTAAGTCAAATATTTCCAAAAAATATATTCTCAACTGTCACATTTGCCACTCAACAGTGGGGTGGGAGAGGGAGGAGGAAAAGCAGAATGTGAGAGGGACAAAGTCTATGAATCACTTTAGACTAGGGGTGTCAAACTCATCTGGCCCCATGGACTGGTCCATGCGCTGGATCTGGCTCAGGGACTGGTCCAGGAACTGGTCCCATGCCATGGGCTCGTGCCATGCCCCACGTGGGTCTGACTGGGGATCGGATGGCAGGGCTCTGTGGGCTCAATCCAGTCTGCAGGCTGTATGTTTGATGCCCTGGCTTTACACCTTGTCAACCCCAGCAGAAAAACTTAACAACTGCCTAAGTCTCCCAACATAAGTCATTCCTTTTTTGTCTTGACTTCAACAGTCAAGTATTTCCCCCCCAGGTATATTGACTCCTCACTGACAGCACTTTGCCACATGAGGGCAAGTCATGCAAAATGGAATCCAGCAACATGAATGCAGCCAACAGTGAGCTGGACAGGAATCCACTACATCAACAAGATAATCCAAATTCTCTGGTTAGGTGTAATGGTTCCTTTTTACAGAAGCAAGGAAGTGACACAGGTATACAAATCCTTTTGGCTGTCAACTGGAGAACAAAACATACCCAGAAAAAATATGCTGATAAACTAGTGAACAGGCTAATTTAGGGACAGATTGTGACACACTCAAACTGAATACTATTTAAACTGCAAACTGAATAAAAGAGGATCGTATCTTCCCATTAAACCAAATGAACAGAGCACTATGCTAAGCCTGCAAGGCACGTAGGTCCTGCTCCCAGTTTTGTCACTGGCCTGCTGGATAAACTTGGGCAAATCACTTGTCTCTGTGCCTCAGATCCCCTGCCTGTAAAATGGGATGATTATACAGAGCACCTCTATAAAGCGCATCAAGGCTATCTTCTGCTGAAAAGAACTAGAGATTAATGCAACGATGATCCCCGATAGACTTATGTTTCAAACGTGTTTTGATGACACCTGTCTGGTTGAGTACTTGTATAGGGTTCATTGTTTTAGCCTCCGAATATTGATGAATCTTATTCCTTTGATACCTGATCAGTGCTAACACAGAGCCAAACTATTTTAACATTATCAGCTGATGTATTACATGTCGTGTGTCAGAACGGGACTAGGCTTTATTAAGACTACGTTTGTCACCAATATGATTCTGATGAAAAAGGAGAAGATGAGCTGCTGATCACTTATAGATGTCTTTTTTCCCCCTCTCCTGAGAGTTACAGTTGATTGAAAAGAAGTTTATTTCAAGTAGAAACCCAGCATACAAAATCTCTTGCAGCTAAATCTCCACAACAGAGACACTAAGATTTTTGGTATGCAGAGTTACGCTGCATGCAAGAATCCATGAATTAAGTACTTAATAATGAGAGGAAATATTCTAGCGAGGATTTATTTGTTTATACTTGACATGTTGTGCTGGTTTTAATCTAAATATTAAGAAGACACTTTGATTTTGTACGGAGTCAAAAAGAACCATTACATTGGATCATGTCAAGGATTTACGGATTAACCGCTCCCAAGCACGGAGCAAGTTATTTCTGTGGTTGGTATCTACCAAGGAAATGCACAAGACACATGTGTAATTCTCTATGTTCTGCATTCCACATTACTTATTGCAACCAAAGAAAGGTTCTTAAAAACTGGAAGTTTTAAATGGAAAGTTAATTTTTTTCTTGCCTTCTGTTTCTTATTTTCACGCCCAGTCAACAGCAAGATCCCCTTTGACCCCACTCCCTCTAAGACATCTTCCACAGCAAGCTCCCCTCCTCTCAGCAACCACACATTTAGGAATTAAACAGAACCCTTCTTCATATCGCATTAAAATGCCCTCTCCCAGCTGGCTACGCAGGAACAGCTGTTGAGCAGGGAACAAAAGCACTCCTCCTTCCATCCCAAGGCTAATGAGTTTTCTCTGGCCTTGGCAATTCCATCTAGAGGAGGGAGGGCACTCAGAACCGAGGATCTGTTATTTATTCTGCAGCAAAACCCAAAATGAATTCAACATTTTACAAGCACAGAAGATGACGGTCCCTACTTGGAAGTGCGTCCAGTCTAGTCAGTCGACTGCACAGCTGAGTTTTACGATTCTCTGCTGGAATATTATAACGGCTATTTATTTTTCCTTTTTAACACCACGCTTATGTTATTTAAAGCTCACTGTGGGTGATCCACGGACAATCGGGATGTATCACCTAAATCTAAAAACGAGACCATATTACCCTGTCCTATATGTAGAGTTTAAATAGTTTAGGAAGTTGGATATACAAAAAGATAAAATGGAGGAACGAGGAAGTTCAATGACTGAACAAGGTGTCTTAGTTAAACATGCATGTGATACGAGGTTTCTTCTAGAAAGGAAGCAGCTTACTCAAGGCCTTACCGTTAAAGCAGCAAGTGACATGAAGCTTATTAGGTTGTTCCACAGTTTATCAATATCTTTCAGAAGCTGTTGGAGTTTCTCACTGCACACAGCTGTAGCCTTGATACCCAGTTCAACTCGTTTGGTCACTCGATAGACCTCGACAACCCCTGGGAAAATTACACAGAGCAGAGGATGACAGACAAGTTGTTGACTTCCAAGCACAGTACCCTCAAGGTTTCCAAAATGCAGGCTCAGAAAGAACAGTTAATGGGCATTACACCTATTTTGAGGAACACCCATGACCACTTTCATTTGTTTCAAAATAATTCTGCTACATTCATTTCACTAAAGACATCACCATTATTCCCATCTGGGCATTCTTTGAGTCAAAAATACTATTTGGAAAGTGTGATAACATACTAATATTTTAAATAGGGGAACATTTAATGCAAGGCACACAGTAAAATGAAACATACCTAATAAATATTCCATGCCTTGCGCCGATTGGATTACTTCAGTGCAAACAGATGAACTACTGATTCCATTTAGGGTGTCATTTGCCTTCTTAATGACCTAGCAGAAAAAATGGTGGCATTAACAAATCCTGTTTACCTTAAAATAACAATTACAACAAAAGTGCCAACAAGAGAAATGGCAGCAGTTAATAAAAGTTAGCAGGAAAGTGGACACGGCCCATCACATGGATTTATTCATTCTTGCTATATGTTGATCAGGGTAGAAGAATGGCCATTTTTAGACTTTAACTCATCCCCTCAAAGCTGTTTTTTTTGGTAAGAAATATATATGTGAGAAAAAAAAAATATGTAAGCTTATAGGAAAGCTTATATTTATATATAAACTTTCCTTTAACAATACTGTTTAAATATCCTGACTGGCTTTTTTCTGCTATCTAATAAAACAATATTCAGAAGGAAAAAGTACTCTAGTCTCCAAGCATGTAGGTCTATATAACAGGAGAAATTCTTGCCCAACCTGAAGCTACTCGCAGGGGCCCAATTTTAAGACAGTGCTGAGAACCCATCCTCTGAAAACAAAGATCCTATGAGGCATCTCAAGTTGCTTCAAGAGAAAAACTAAGACACCCAAATTATCTCCTCGCTTGACAATATACCAGCCAAATTATCTGTAAGTGATAGACAGCGTGGTAGCAGCTTTATTTGGCAAAGTGAAATATCTGATTAGGTTCTCTCATATATATATTTACAGCAAGTCATCTTCTATTGACATCATTCATTTTTAAGTGACAATTCATTCAGGTCCACACACGCCCTTCCAGATGCTTTCACTGGATCATGCAGTACATGCAGGAAGTAGGCAGTAATTTCAATAAAGGTTATACACTTACTTGTAGAGCACTTTCCAGGCATCTCTGCCACTCATATGCGTATCTCTCACTTTCCTATTTAAAAAAAGAAGAGTCATACGAAAAGCACATCAGGCTGTCACGTAAGGAGGCATCATTTGAAAACAAAAACAGGAAATAAGCATTCGCCTTTGTGTCTGAACTGCAATACTTCATCCACAGCCAGTGAAGCCTGTACCATAACTAGAATTAGATTTTATGAATAATTTGCATTTGTCACCGACTTGAACCACTCAGTCCTAGTGACTCAGATGATATTGATTGAAGTTTCTAAAACTCAACTATATTTCTCCGCAGGGAAGGTGGGTATTGCATAGTTGAATTAAATATAGTTACAACTATGGAAGTTAAATCTTAAAGAGCTATGTTGATTAAGGGGTTACACACTCTTATTGCCTCCCAAATCTAGCATCACAAAAGAGATGAGTCACCAAAAGCAAGTAGACCAACTGTAGCTCTGACTAAACAGGCCATGTGAAGCCATTCATTTACAGGAAACTACTTCCAAACCCGCTTGGAACTCTGCTCAGAGAAAAAGGGAAAGGAAATAAAACTCTCTTTCCAACGTATCCATTTAAAACTGTGCATAGGAAATATTTTTTTAAAAACTAAGCAAAGCACTAAAAAGAAACATTTGATGCCCCAAGGGTTTGGATAATTATCCACTATTGGCATCTTAATAATTCCTCCTTAAAAATGCAACTTTGCTTTCTATATATGTAAATCTGAGTGAGGAAAGGGATACACAAGGGAAGTACAACAGTATACAACACTGACTATACTTTGGGTCACCTTGGATGCTTGGTGTAATTTTTCTGAGCCTGGGCTTCGAAGAAACCTGGAGGAGAGAACTGCTTCCCAAGCAGCTTACAATTCAAGGCCTGAAGGCTGCATGCAACTGAACACCTCCCCCACCAGGATCAGGCCTCAAACCATACATCTACCAAAAATCCCTAACAGATGAACGGTGGAGTACTTTTAATATTGCATTAGCTCAAGCAAGCATCGCCTGGATGGCTTTGCAGACCATTCCTTACCTCTACTTCCCCCGTGAGGTCTTTGTACTTGTCTCTGATGACTGGCAAAGCAGGCTTCTCGCTCAGAGTATTGGAGCGATCTCTAAAAGGTTGCTCCAAAGCTGGTGACGGGGAAGTGCGGCTTATCTCCCTGTCACCTAGACTCAAGCTCCTTTTATGAGACCCTGTGAGAAATTATAGTACAAGCTAATTATTCGCCGCATGTATCCAAAGAAAAATAAGAAATCCTTTACATTTAAAGGTAGCAATAGTGAATGGGGCTGCACTGACAACCAGAAAAATGAAGTACATTGATCACTAGGTGTTAAAAGCAGTACTCTGAGCCTCCCCAAAGCGAGATGTGTTATAGTTCCAGCTCCAGGCCTATTCGATCTGTAGGAAGCTACCTGTAAAAAAGGCCCGATACAATGCCCACTGAACTCAACAGAAGACTCAGATTTATTCCAATGAGCTTTGGAACAGTCTGCAAAGGAGAACATCATTTGCTCACTAATAAAAAGCAGAATACCGAATAGATGTGTCTGTATGCGTTATGAACCACCCTGAACGTGCTCACCTTGAACAGAGAGGTCAAAGGTAGCAAGTTCACTCTTGATCATTTCTTCGCTAGATTTCACCTTGCCTTGCGACGTGGCCACCAAGAAGTCAAATTTGCTGATTTTAGGCTTTTCGCTTTGAAATTCTCCAAAGTCATCTGTGCACTCTTTTGGTGGTTCAGAGGAGATGCCACCGGGGGCTAAGTCAACCGCTTGGCTTCCATCAACTGCAGCTGTATCCTGTGCTTCTGATAACGGCCTTGCAAAGTCTCCAACATCATCATCACTCTGACCACTGGATGTAGGGCCAGGTTCTTTGAAGTTTGCAAAGGCTGTGAACGCAACGTCCTGTAAAGCTTCCTCGCTAAAAAAGGTGGTCACTTTGGAAACTGTCGTCATGGTAATGTTTTCCGAACTGCCAAACAAAGTCTCCTTCTTCTGCAGAACTGAGGTAGCCGAGGAAAATCCACTCCCTGGGCTAAAGGAAGAGGGCTTCTTGCTCTGAGGAATGTCTTCTTTGTCTGGCCACTCATAGCTTGCGAGGCTGCTTACCGCAGAGCCGCTGTTATAGTTTCCAAACTGGGCACATTTTAAGTCATCTATATCTGAGGAAAAAAAAATACATATACACACACACTCACAATTAGGGACTCTGCCAAAGTTTAGAAGTCAATCTCCCTATGCTGTACAGAAATGATAGCTATTGGTGATCAACCTTGCTGAGCCAGGAAAACAGCTTCCTTGGGTCTGCACTGAGCTGACATCTCAAGTCGGTGAGACTTAATCTAGATCTTGCACAAAAAATAAATCTTATAAATTGCTATGTGGGAATCTAAAAATTCTCTACTTCTGATGTACCGACCTTGAACAAAACACACAGAAAACTGGTCTAGCTCTCCTCCCCTATTTTGCCCCCAGATAATATGTCCCAAAGAATAAATACAACCGCTGCTGTCGGCAAAGAGCATGCCAAAGGCTTTTAACAGCAAGCAAGTCCTGTTCTTAAAAATTATGAATTACAGAAGCACTGCCTGACTTCACTTGTTTAAGCCTGCAAGTTTCAGGAGCATCAATGTTGCAAAGATCTTTAATTTTAGCTTACACACATCGCTGATTCAGATAACTAGATAGAAAACTAACCATATGACACAAGCTTTCAATCCAACATTTAGGACTTACCCAGTATTTACATGGGCCAATAGGTCCGTCTTCCTGCCCTAAATGGGTACGAGAAAGACAGCGATGCCTTTTTCTTATGCTGAGGCCACCGAAAGAAACAACACAGTGATCTGATTGATCTCTGCTAGACTGTCTGCTACCCACATTCAACTTTTGTTTTTTTTAATTTAGACTGAGACGGTTCCATATGGGGCGGTATAAAAAGCCAGGGGCCATAGACTTTTTGTGCAAGCATTAAAAAAAAAAAAAGGCTATGTTTGGCATTTGTTTCTAGGCATTAACAATTGTCAATTTGCATTAGACACCCAGCTGCTGCTCCACGCCTAGGGTAAAATGGTCTCAAGGTAAAGCAAACACAAACCAGAAAAACACGTTCTCTTCGCATCATTTTAGCTGAGGCTGCACTGATAAACATTTGGGTCCTAACTGGCTTGCACGCAGTAACAGCAGCTTGGGTTTCATAAAGATAGTGTGGAAACAAGTTGACATTCCAGCTGCCCTTTTTATTCAATCTGGCTATACCAGCCTGAGGATTAAGCCATTTTAACAACACATTTCTGCCTACATTTACTCATTTTACTGGAAGGAAAGAGCACGCAGAGCTGCTTTAGGCTGCTTTCCCGGCCTGACCCACATACATGATTAATCAGGAAGTCCAACAATTGTGCAAAATGATCACAGACAAGTTTAATGGCTGCAGCCAAAAAAAAGCAAAGAGCTCCTTTGCAATGAGACAGTGGGGCATAAAGCGTCACAGATTTGATTTTCCTCAGGAATACGGTTTGTGCTGCTGCAGCATGTGTGCCCGATAGCATCTCAGTAACAACAACAGTCCTTTGCATTTGTGTAGCCTCTTTCATCTGAACATCTCCGGGTACATACAGACCTTAAATCTGTCCGACAAGGATTATCCTCATCTTATCTGGGTGTAAAAAGGCATGGACCTGAAATCATGTGCACAAAATGAACCAGGGCAGAAGCAAGGCAGAGAGGTGGAAGCGGGCTGGCTTGCAATGGCTCGACGAGGAACTACTTACCTCCAGGGACTGTGCCTCAAAGCTAGGTTTTCATGTAGAAAAACCCAACCACTAAGTGCCTAGCATTAAAAGCTGCCAGAAAAGCCTCTAAAAATGTAAACCCAGAGTAATGAGAGCAGGACAGTGCTAGAAGCAGCACATCACTCTTTACCCCACCAGTGTGTCGACTCGGGAACCTAATGATAACAGTGTCCATGTCACTATTCACTATTTCAGCATTCATCAAATAAACAGTGATAATCATCTTACGAGCATCTTCAGGATCCACTGTGATCAGCTACTTCTTTTAATCAACAAGTAGAAGCAACTTGGACTGTGAGCACACCCCACACCAATTTACTTTGTTTTATTTTCTTTCAATCTGACCTGTGGCTCAAGGTCGCACTGAGTCAGCAAAGGGTTTACAACACAGTTTTGAATCCCCAATGCTTTTTAGCCCATACGCTAGGCTTCTACTCCACCTTCCTGGCAAAGGCAGCAAAATGATAGTTCACTCCTTTGGGATTACTCAAAAAAATGTATAATGGCTCCTGAGTAAGATCGTTTCATAGCTAGGAGAGTCCCAGAGAAATGTACTAAAAAACTAAGTACTAAAAATAAATATGGATGCAATTCTAAAATGTTGGAAGCCAAACAAGTTGTTATAATAAATCCTGTTTTAAGGTCATTGTAAAAATCACCAGTTTGGCTAGCACATGCTCCTAGTTAAAAGCTGCCCTGTGTGGGAAATGGGAGTCATTATCCTTGTGATGACTGCAACCTGCACCAGATTTAAAAGGCTGATCTGGCTCCCAATTAAATTATCTACCGAGTAATACAGAAAAACTCTCATTCTTTCTTTTCCTGAAAAGCTGCAGAGCACCTTGCCACATGATTAATATACAGATAAGCAGGTTACATGTGAAAAGCATTCAATGATTGACCCTAGGGAACTCTTTTTGATCTGGGTATTTTTATTATTGGCACAATGATGTTTTATTAAACACTGTTCAGATCTGTTCCTGCAACTGCTTCTACTCTAGAGACCGCGGATAAGTTTAATGAAAAAAAATTAGTTGCAGCATTTGAACTTCAGCTATAACCTCTGGCATAATAAGAGCTTAATAATGTTGTTATGGCAATTCAAAGGGTTTTTTTTTTTAAATGGATGTGCATTAGTGGCAGCATTCATTCAAAACATGTGATCGTTAACTGAAAATAAATCTCAAGTAATTCCAAGAGCTAAGCACCGTCTTTAGAAAAATACAGTTCCTACCCAGAAATATCTGTAGAAATTTCTTCCTCCAAGGACTTCACATTTTAAACCAATGGGAGAGCGCAAAACTTCTTGAAAAATATATTACTGAAAGAGCAAAGGCTTAAACCATTCCAAATTCTCTCTCATGTTTTTTGCTTTCAAGATACTGTAATCTTCCTAGCTAAGCAGGATTAGTGTCCTGCACTTCCTATATTGGAAACTATTTCATGATGAACGTAAGCAGAATGGCAAGGCGCAAAATAGATTTTCAAGACTGATTAGCATTTTTGGCAGCCTGCATTACGTTTCAACATATATTGAGTAAAACTTCATCAGCACTTTTTTGGGGGGGAAAAAAAAAAGCAACAAATTGTCCTGTCAAAGTAAATCAAGGCATGAATGAATCATGCAAAACATTTCTTAACTACTTTTTCCATAATTCTACCCACAAAACTTGTATTCAATATATTATAGTGTAATATGTTAAAATGAGGCAATGATCCCTTAATAACAATGCTGTCAAGTTCTTGGCGTCCTTCTGAAAGGATATAATACACAATGCTTTTTATATTTATGACAATATAAAATATCTTAATGATTCCACTGCCGTTTTATTAAAGAAGGATCATATTAGCCTCCAACAGGCCAGCCACCAGTGTATCTTGCAGTCAAATTAAACTTCGCTAAGGAATAAATTCATATGGATGCCCAAATTACCAAATGTGGAGAAAACACACGGGATGAAAATGAACGAGGTTTACAGAAATGCCAATGAAGCTGCATTAGACATGACCAAAATGGAGTACAGCAGATGGATCTGTCTCTTTTAAAAGAAATGTCTTTTAAATGTCTGTGATAGATATCAAATATCTATGTCTATTCAAATATCTACTTAAGCTCTCATAAGCATTTTAGCGTATTGCAACATAGTCCCGTGGTTTGAAAAACAACCAACCAACCAACCCCCCCACTTGCAACAAAAAAAAAAATCAAGACAAAATTGAACATAATCAGACAGTCCTTTCTTCCACAATTTTAACTCAAGTACAACATGAAAGAATTGCTACCATCCAGCAATTATCAAATGTGTTGACTAAAATATGTATGAGTTTTGAAGTTAATCCGAGGTAATTTAATAGTAAGCTATTTCGGACTGCAGGTTTTCTGGAGCAGAGTTTGCTTTAATGCACCAATTCTTCTTTTACCGCCAGTTGCTTTCAACAGAATTCGGATATATGGAGAATCCATAAACTGTATTAGAAAATAAGTGTCCAGTTCTCCATAAAAATTGCCCAAGGGACAACCAAAGGCTATTTGTCAGGTCCATATGTCCACCCACCCTGTGCTGATCAGGTCCTCATACAGCCTAACAACAATGCACATATGCTGATCTATTCAAACATCAAGCACTATGAAACCAGTGATGTGAACAGAGATTTGTGCATTAAAAGAAACAAGAAAAATTTTCAAGGAGAAAGGGAAGGGTTCTTTGTAGTCCCAACACTACAAACAGTGACTGTCAAGGAGCATTGAAGTTGAACAGCAGAGTTTCAATCATTGCTGGAGTGCAGAGTGAAAGATTTGATCCCACCCCTTCTTTACCCCACTTCCTGTACGACATTTTCCATTTGGGATCTGTCTAAACGATGTTCTCTGCTAAATTTACAGTCTGCCTAATCATCGCCTGGGAATAGCTACAGTACGACTCACCAGCCTCGCTGCTGTGGATGAGCCTTAGAAGGATACCCATCAGGGACCACACAGAAGAATGCTGACGGGGGATGAAATACTGCTATAAAACCGTTTCCCGGTGTTATCTAATCTACACAAAAAAACTCGACATCCCTCATTTGAGCTGACTACAATAATCTACTTCAACTACTATAGATTAGATTATGTTTGCACATTGTCTGGAAGCAATTTCCAGATGGGACTTTTCAATGTCAGTGGTTTAATTGTTTTAAGGAAAATCCATCTGATGGTAAGAATGACACTGGGACCGATATCTGAAGGCTATTCGGTCTTTTTTGTATTATTGTTATTATTTCAGAACCTTTCACCTCAAGACCACAAATTGGGATTCAGTCTAAACATTGTTATATCATGTGAAGGCTGTTAGGGGACCTCTATAAAGACAAGCTAGCTGTCACTTCCATTCCTAGTGGACAGAGATCTGTGTCACAAAAGACACACAACTGGCAATGTTGTTGGCAGTCTTAGACAGAGTCCAAAGACAGATGCAGCTATGGAAACTGCTTCCTCCCTACCCTTTTTCAGGCAAGATGCCTCCAGGTCAGGACCGAGATGTATGGACAGGCAGAGTGCAGAGGGCTGTGCTATTGTAGCTGGATCGTGCTTATTAGTGGACTGGAGGAATTCAGGGCTAGCTTGTCAGTTGGTGAAAACAGGCACAAGATCCAAAAACTATAAAACAGGACTGCTCCAATTCGTTCTTGTAGAGGACAAGCAGCAGCAGCACTTCTGGCTGAAAACCATCCAGAGCTAACGAACTCCAACCAAGTAGAGGGGAGAAGAAAAAAAAAGGCTTCCCACGTGGTGGAATTAGAGTCTGACCAAACAGGATTTCTTTTTTCCATCTTATGAGAGAGTGTGATTGAGCATGATAATTACTCTCAGCTTTGGGAGCAAAACTGAAATGCTCATTTAGCCCTCTGAGTGAAAAAACAACTCTGTTTAATCCTTTGGAGTCCTAAAATTGGATCTATTTAGCGAGTTGCTGTGTACTCTGACACACAAAAAACTCCACATATTTGTGTATATAGTTGTCAGATTCCTCATGGGGGAAAATGGAAAAGCCTTTAAGTACCAATATTCACATGGACTTTACACTAAGCTAGATCTGGCAGCCAAACTTACGAAAATAAAGCAAGGACAGAAAACCAAACAAACAGTCAAAAAAATATTAAACAAGACCACAGAGAAAACTAACATCAAATTGAAACTACCCAGTATTTTCCAATTCATTCACTCCCATGCCTCAAGTACGGTTACCTGAACTATTCGAACAGAACTACAATACCAGGTTTACATCTGTCAGCTGATTAAAAAGAGTTGAGGGCAAGACAAAATGCATAAATTCTACAAAACAAACACCAAATTTCCTCTTTACGGTTTATCACGCTGTGTGTGAAGAAGACAAACATTTCTTCTCACTAGCTCCAGCTGTTGCTTGTATGGCCCAAAAAAATATCAACTTAAACCAAAATCTGGCAACCAAATAATCCTCACTCTTTTTCATGGCTTCTTAGTGAAAAAACAGACAGGCAGAACACCCTGATTTTACAAGCAGAGTTGTAAAGTATGAATGCAACAAGCTTTTCATCATCATTTGTAGAATCTTATCTTGTGATACAAAATAGCAGCAGTATAGCAAAAGCATTAGTGATTCTAGGATCCAGGAGATTCCCAAATTACATGGGGGGGGGGCACTAAAATATTTACAGCAAGTTTTTAACAGCCACCTATGTGTTTAAATTGTATTGAGTCAGGACAGGCTAGGTCAGGGAAGTGGGAAAGTGCCTTTTGCTTTTAAATAACCAGTTAAGTTCATTCCAGGGTATGAAGGTAGTTTGCATCAAAACACTGTTTGGCCATATATGACACGTGATTATTTTTCATGTGTCTAGTCAGGGTTCGGTAGACTCCAGGTCCAAATCACAAAACCCACCCCACAACTGGCACCTTCATTATCAACAGCAGAAGAGTAAAGAGGCAGAAGTATTAATGTAGAAGAGGCAGAATGTGGGAAACAGGATATTTCATTCTTCAGCGTTGTCAAACTATCACCATTCCCTAGCAATAAGGATTCACAAACCCATGCTGCCATGGCCAGACATCCCGCTGACTCAACTCTCTCATGTACTTTTATTGAGACTGTTTGAAGGTTAGCCTAATATTTAAAGTTTCCGAAGTGCACAGGAAGGAAGGTCAAGGCATTCAGTTTAGTGTGTTCAAAGAACTGTAGTGCAGCGTACAATGAGCTAGAAGCAGGCAGGCTAATTCAAGGGGATACTATAGCTTTAAACTTTGTATTTTCCAGAGGGAAAAAAAAGCCACCCACAGATCTTTCTGGATCACAAAACAAATCACAGACATCCCCACACTTTCAAAATATGCCAAGATAATATTTATTAACACAGCAGGACTTACAGATCACAAAAGATAGTGATACATAGGAGATCTTAAGGGCGTCATTAGAATAAAGCATGCAGGTCAATATTTGCAGAAGAGAGATATCAGAGCAGATTTGAGAAGGCACATTCACACAGGAAAATGTTTAGTTGAAATAAGACATTAGAAAAGCAGCAAAAAACCTGGTGTTGATTAAAATATACAGAAATTTCCAATAATGCCAAAGAAAAGATACTTTTACAGATTTGTAAGTGCAGCAAATTGGATAACCCTTTGAGGATACAAATGGCCAAGGGTAGAAACCCTTGCTGCAACCGTCAACTGAATTTGAAACCAATGCTGATGCACGCAACATGGCTCAATGCTGATTAAAACACTTTAGTGTCAGAAAAAAATAAAAATTTAATTTGGTATAAAAGAAGCAGCTGGGTTGAAAAATCAACAACATGCAGCAAGTGCTCAAAGGGTTATACTGAGTATAGGCAAGAGAAATCAGGCAACATTAGTACAGTCTACCTTCCACACAAAGAATTGGTACAAAGTTTAAAGAGACAGTATCCCCTCTACAGAGAGCTTGAAAAGGGTTTCCCCCCCCCGCCCCAAAAGCTAAAGTAATTCAAATTGGAAGGGTTGATTTTCCTCCATTCCCTATGCCCACCGCAGGAAACCTGCCCCTATACTCCCAGAATCAGTAGTGTCAACTCTCAGTGGGCAAAGTGTAAGACTCCTGTATTGTTGTGCTAGTGTCCGAAATGTCAAATAAAGAGTTTAATAAGCCCCAGCTCCTCCAGTTCATCATTTTATACACTTGCACAGTCCTTGCAGACAACAAAAATGGTTCCCAGTGGCTGGGCAGCCCTCTCCTTGTAATTAGAACTATAAAGGGATACTGTCCCTTTCTAACATGTCAGCCATCTCCTTGTAATAAGGACTATAAAGGGATACTGTCCCTTTCTAACATTAAATTTACAGAGAAAAAAATAAATAAAAAAAAGCAGATTTTATGTAAACTGATAAAAAGAAAAAAAAAAAAGACTTGAACATCACTGGTTCATAGCTTGAAATGTATCCAACATACATAAAGAAACACATGAGCACAAATATCATTTAGATATTTTAACAAATATTGTTCAGAACAAGCTCGACTGTGAAACCAAAAGAGGAAGTCCAATAAAATTCTCCTTGTGAAAAACATCTAACTTGGCACCGTGAAAGAATACACTTTTCTTGGTTTGGTTTCAGAAAAATAGCTTCTAATTAATACTTCAGAGTTCAAAAGTTTTGCATCAAGCGCATGATTAGCTAATCCTTTTAAACAAAAACAGCAACAAAAAATATCTTTCCTGCCACAAATGGAAATTATCAGTTACTGATTGCTGTGGCCAATGAAGCTCGTATATAGGAGAAGAGCTACATAAATCAAGCTACCACCAAAAAGGCTAGAAAAATATTAGGAAAAAGTGCTTTCAAAACCAAAGTAAACATTCAAGAACACTCTGTAGGTACTACATTTTTTAACAGCCCATTAAGCTTGGAATTTTTCCCAAGCAGTAATATGAAAAATTAAATGTCTTTGCTAATAAAATTATTCCTGATATTTTGTACCCTGTTATAGAGTATCTTCCATGTCAAAGTCACCAACTTAATATTCTCCCCTACTTAAAAATATCATATAATGCAAAATTACAGTACTTTTTTTTCCTACCCATCTCTGCAAAAATGGAAGAAATATTTCATATGGAAATACCCAATTCTTGCAGCAATAGTTTTCCATTTACAATTTGTGTGCCCCTCCATTCAAAAAAAGCCTTCAATTCTATAATAGTTGTCACTAGAACACAGTAATATTTCCCGTAATATTAAAGGCCACAAAACGTTGAACTACATTTTCTCTCTATGTACATATAAAAAGAAAAAAAAAAAAACAGGACACTTGGGAAATTTGTATTATGATATGCAAACAAATTGGAGATACTTAGTTCATGGTCTCTTAGGAATACTTTCATAAAGGGAAATGAAAAGGGGGATAACCTAATAAGGATATAGTTAAGTCACTTGGTTTTAAATTTGGCTCCATAAGCTAATGATTACCATACTAGCATATATAGGCTCGTTGCATGATTACATCCAGTAAGTATTAACTCTAAAATAACTAGTTTCACTTCATTTACAGTAACACTGTCTATAATACCTTCATTTCCAATATGACTGAGTGCTGGCTAACAGTGGAAGCAACCCCACTTTAAAGGGCACTGGCTGGAAAGTTGTTCAGTGACAGCGCAAATTAGTGTTCTGCCTAAATTTTCAGAAGCAAGGAGTGGGCCGGGTCCCCCCAGCCAGGTGCTCAGCTGAAACCACGAGATTAGAGAAAGGCTCTCAATGCCACTGATCAAGTTTGCTCACGTGGGATAACACTGTTTGCTTTTGAAGAGTTTTCGTTCAAATCTCTTCAGAGACACAAATGCTAATGGGTATTCGTTAATACTGCGTGGTCACATCTCAAAAATAAACTAGGATTAAATCCAAACAGCCCAATCTAGAGTTGCCCAAGACAAACAACAACACTGCCCTGTGAAGGGTTGGCAACTAGCAGGTGCACACGTTTAGAAGCCTTTCACAACTGAAAGACTAGTGCATAATACTGTAATTTAGCACACAGAGGAACATTACTGACATCTCCCCATTGCCTACGTTACCAGAGCAATCTAACCAATTCCTCACCTGCTGCTGGAGGGTGCTGGCCACTAACTGTTGGCAAATCCAAAGAGCTATCAGACATGACATGCTTAAGATCTCCTCCCACATCAGCCAGTTTCATGTCAAACTGAACAGAAAGGGCGTCTTCAGAGTCCTCCTTGCCCACGCTGCTGCCACCAATGGAAGGGAGATCCAGAGACTTGACAGAAGCAGAGTCTTCTTTAGCCTGTTTGAATGCTGCTACTTTGTCTACCAGGGATTTATCGGCATTATTACACATGGAAGAAAACTTGTTAGAGTGGAAATCAGCAAAGTCGTCATCACTTTTCACAGAAGAAGGGGTGTTGTCTTTCAGCTCCTCATAGCCCAAGCCAGCGCCCTCCAGAGAAAGCTGCTTGAAGATATCATATTTAGTGGGAGCAGCAGCACAATTCTGCCCAGTCTTCATCGCACTCAGAGAAGAACTGGTTGAAGGACCAGGACTGGGCTCTTGTTTTAGAGCATTGTATTTGTCATCTGTTTTTTGTTCAGAAAAGCCACTACTGTTATTGAAAGCCATAAAATCCGCAAAGTCATCTTGTGCCCCAGCTGACGCACAATTTGGAAACCCTCCAAAAAGGTTGAACTCTCCGAAGTCATCAGCCAGGCTTGAGCTTTTACTGGGTGCTAGTTGAGCAGTAGATGTTGGAGGCGGGGGTGCAGGGAAAGAGGCTGATTTTGAAGAACTAAAGGCAGGTGGAAATGGAAGCGTTTTGTTCTCTCCAGGGGAGGAAAAGAGATCTAAGTCTTCCAGATTCAGAGAGGATTTTGCTTGCACTTGTTGCTTTGACTGGATAGGAAGGGAAGAGAAGGATGGAGGGAAAGTTTTCTCTTTTGCAGGTGGGTCTAGTGGCGAGATACTGTCAGCGGTTTTGAAATCTGTGAATCCATCATCAGCTCCTGCAGATTTGAATTCTGCAAAGCTATCTCCTCCTGAAGGCGAGAGGAAAAAGCAGAGCAATATGTAAGATCTTAAAATGAAAGCAGGCATGCCACACGCACACCATGCAAACAAGTTATTTCATGCAATGTCACAATGTTTTAATGAAACCCTACTCAAATACATAGCTATGGAGGCATATTAAACTGCAAATTAGATGTCTGAAGGCCACGCAATTTTTGAAAGTTCAATACTTCCCCGTTTTTATCATCTCGAAAAGTTTACAAATACATAACAGCCTCAAACCACAAGAAACTCACTTTCATGAATTTAATATCAACACATGCTTTTAAGTGAAAAGTTTAGGAGGTGCTCAATACTGTATTGCATTCGGTCATTGGACACAATCTTCTGTCCTTAGAACCTGCCACTGCTTTGTTATAAAATGTAGATCTTGTACACTTTCTGCTAGAAACCTATTCTCGTCACCCCTTTTCTACCGCTCCTCACTTCAAAATACTGGCATTTTGAAGTCAGAACTAAGGCACATGGTTTCTTCAGAGGACAGCAGCAGCACTGGCAAGCTGAGAGAGGTGGACAGAAGGAACAGACTGATCTGCAAAGGCAGCAGCTGGCCTCAGATACCAGACAATCACTTTTTAAAAAAACATCTGTATTCATTATGGAAAACAGGAAGATCATAGAAAAGGTAGAGATTACAAGACACTTTCTACACAATAAGGAACTGAACTAAAAGGAAGGGAAAACACCCACCAGCATACCAGTTCAACAACATCCTAACTTATCCTTGTGGACCATTTTACACCTTCCTACTAAAAGCTTACTCCCCTTCATCTACCCAGTTTATCCAAACATGGAGGAAAGGCAGTCAAGCGATCAGAAGTTTACAAAAGCTTAAAAACACAGGTCTTGTTCATTTTCATGGTGCACTGCTCCCTGACTAAGACTGATTACAGCTGTATCTAGGTGCCTACAGATTAGAGCTGTATACCTTCCTTTCGAGCTGCAACAGAACCATTTGTAAGTTTAAAATGTCTTAGACTGCAAACTGAATGTAATATAATGGAATTTAACTGACCATCATTTCAATACTCAGAGAAAGGGGTTTTCTTTTGTATTGAAAGACAGAATGTATGAACAAGAAAAAACTTAGAAAGCTGATTCACCAAAACATTTTAACCACACAGAGAATGAACCCTGAAGTAAAACAGAAATTTATTCTAATTATGTATCATCTCACAGCAATTTGAAAGTCAAAGTGCAAATTTTTTCTGTTAAATTTGTTTAACCCATTCACCAGCATATATCTGCACAAATACCACTTGCTACAAAATATGCATCAATTACTTCACAAGACAACAAAATGCCCAACACATACACAGATTTCAATTCATATTTTAAAAGTGCACTATTAAGATTCAAGTCAGTTTCACAAATGCTACCATAGCTACCACACCACCATGTGACATTTTAAGTTGGCTTAAGCTATGAAGATTTGAGAGGATTTTTGTTACAACTGTATTAGGCTGACATGAATGTCACCTGAAATATGATCATTTTTCTTCAATTCACCTGGTCCAACAACAGTACAAAGAATTTGTGAAATTGACTTTCATTAACCAAAATTAAAACATCACAGCAAACTAAACTTACTGATGGATTGCAAACTTTTCCATTAGAAATGTAAGCTGGTGAAAGGGTTAAAGGTGATCAGAGCTAGGCAGTTTGCAAATTCAGAAATAACTTTCTTTTTCCTTACAAGTAATAAAGCAGACAGACACAAATCAAGTGAAACAAATGAATTCTAATGTCTGATCCTGGAAAGCCGATGAACCACAAATTCTGCACCCAAATCAGGTTTCTATTACAAAATTTGGTTGAGAGGTCCTGGCACTATATTTTCTGTACTCATGCATATATTTTCTTCCAGAAGCCTTTCCTCCTCTTTAAATACAGGGACAACATGTAGGCAGAGCCTCAGAGTAGATCTTCCCCTGAAGTTAAATTATCAAAGCATTTATCCTGTGCTTAGCTTAGCAATACTGTGGGAAACCAAGAGGGTTTCAGAGATTTCTTTCCCATCAAATAAAAAGGTGACCATGCTGCTTATGTTATGTAGATGAATTACAGATGGCGTGCTCTGGAAAGAGCTTAGGTAGGCTGCTCTGGCTGCAATTACATGCAAGTAGTATGTCAAAGGGTTGTTAGGTTTAATTTTCACACACTCTCAGAAATGAAAATAATTAAGGGCAAACTGGCCCCTCTGAGCTAAATAAGCAACTCTATTAGCAAGGTTCTGTACACCAAAAACAGTGCACTAGAGCGAGCTATATGTACCATAGCAACATAAAGCTTCAAAACAAAAAGAAAAAAAAAATCAAAATTTACACCCCAAATGCTAACTTCTAAGCTCGTACAATGCCTCGCTTTTAAAGCCAGCCTATATCAAGGGGAGACAAAATCCTATTGCATGCTGATCCAAGGTTAGTGTTCACGTGCACCTACAATGGAGGGATTAGTCTTCCGCAACACACACACACAAACAAGACTGTGGAAAGTTTTAATACAGATCCTTAACGATGTCAGGAAGCTTCTTGCTGACCTGTTTGGAGGCACTGTAGAAGCATCACCCTTGAAACCCAGCAGTGGGACTTTTTCAGTTTATGCAGGATCATTAAAAAGCCTGAAGAAATCCTTAAAACAGCTCTATGAGACCAAATGCTTACCTAGGTATTTACTCTCTGATGGCTGTTCTAATTCTCGGAAAGCACTGTACTTGTCTCCACCATCTATTGGAATACAAAAAAAAAAAAAGAAAAAAGGATCATTTACATTAAGATTTGCAAAATTAGGCTGCAATCAACTATACTGCAGATTAAATTGGCACAAATACTATCATCTTGCATGCTAAACATTGCGTATTAACATCATACCAATATCAAAAGCAACACTGAAATATGAACAATTAAGCTAAATGTTAAATTACATGCAATTCAACAGTTTCTGTTTTACCTCCAAGTGTAGCTGCACTTTCAGAAGGCTTATCAACAGCAATTCCTTTAAACACAGCGTATTTATCAGTTGAAGATGGTGTTTTAGTGCCAGATAGTGGCATTAGCAAAGAAGGAACACTAAAGGCAAAAAAAAAAAAAAAGAAAGAAAAGACACATAGAATCATAGTTCCTTCATGCACCATAAGAAATCTGTAACCCTCCCTAAATTTAAAGCAAACAGAAATTAAGACACGAATTATTAGTTGTGCTCACACATTTAAAACACGTTTTCCCCCACCATTCGATAAAAGGACTTATTTGACTACTGCATTTTAAAACTACATTTACAAAGGAGCTGTGCAGTAGTAATATCCCTATGCCAGCCCCATTAATCTTAGACAAGTTATTATCCCACTGAAGTTTTACCTATAGTCCACTGGGCCACAGAGAAGAAAGGTGCCTTAAACCTCTTAATTTTTACATAGGGAAAAAAAAAAAAAGGGAGGGAAACTTTTCATATATGCGCCACAGCAGTTGTTCAGCCAGAAGAGAACACAAATCCTTGTGAAACACTGTAGTTTCATTAATCACATCACCCACAATGCCTTAAGTACAAGTATCCTTGAAAGGACTAGAAAAAGAGTAACAATCACCAGCTGCCTAAGACTTTGAAAACCCTGGGCTTCCAAATCTCCACTTTTGATTATATTACATTGCATATTGCAAAAATGAGATGAGAACAGATCCACTTTTCCAATATAAGCAAAAGGCAAAGTTTGAATTTCTACACAAGGCTAAATCAGCAAGTTTAGGTAGCCGTCTATTCAGCCAAGTAAGGATTATTCCATAATTATACAAACATACTTTCTGCACAAATGCGTTCTACTCTGTAGAGTAAGCTTCCGTAATAACCCAATCCTGTGTTAGCAATTCCTGAAAGATTTAAAAACGTAATGTAAGAGCTTTGCTTCCTGCTCCCACCCCTTATCAGACCTTGGCAGCTCTGCAGAACAGCATCCTTTACATATGAATGACTGCATTTTACTTCTAGTTTATGCCATTCAATACTATGCACATTGAAAACGTGAATGATTTCTATGGAGTTTTTTGGCCTACAGCAAGAATTCTTCCAGAGCCATTTAAAATGCCTTATCAGTGGCTTACAAGCAACATACAAACCTCGCACTTGCACACTCCTGCTAATGGTGGTCTGTGATGCGATGTCACAGTGCAATGTCAAAATATAATATATTTGCCAAGATTGGGTGGTAAATTATGTTACCATAAGCTCTATTTGTATATAGAGCTTATGGTAACATAATTTAATTTCACATCACCACAAAACAGGCGGTCTGATATCCAATCTTGGCAAATATAACGATTAATCATCAGCGCTCTACAGATGGCTTTCTTTTAAATAAAGCTTCATAAGCAATTAGACTATAGTTCATCATAACATTCTGTTCAAAAAGCAAATGCTTTTACAACCAAATAAAGGGAACTACTGTGATGGAAAAGAGAAATCCCTGATGTCTCATGATTCAACTCTGATTATGGAGCTTTTAACAAAAACTATGCTTCTGCTAAGGCTTTAATTAATAGAATAATTTTATTAATGGCAAAACTAAGAAGAATATAAAACAAAGCCTAATAATATATGAAGCACCTTCAGATTAACGTAGTGCTATTGATTTAAACTAGCAAAATGAAATTCCTTTCATGAAAAGCTATGACTCAGACTGTCATTTTACGCACACTGCAGCTGAACAATTCACTCTATTTTTGTCTGAAGTCATTGTCAAGGAAGCAACTAGCAATCACTAATCACCTTTAAACCATTTGTTCCATTTGCACAGAAGAACTACCCACTTGATACAAAAAAGAAAAAAAGACAAGTTCTGTACCCAAAACTGATTATAGTTAGGTAATTGGAAGCAGTATATTGTTCTACCCTACACAGCGTGAACAAATACAATTTAAAGGACTTCTTGAACACTAAAAACTGAAAGCCAGCTGTGTGAAAGGTCAATATTTAGACTTAAAATCAAGGAAGCAGGGTTTTCGCCACTCCACGCTGCTCATTCCATGGCTGCTATGGGAATATTCTATAAGGACTACATAACTTGCAAGGTGCTGAGTGACCACGATCCTAGAAGACTGCTAACACATAATGAAAGAGAAATTTGAAGGCAATCGTTACAATTCAAGGTCAGGCCAAAATGGAAGAGAGCAGAGTAAGATGCATTAAAAGACACTACCCAGTGGGAAGAGCCATTTAAAAGAAAGAGTTTGAAAGACAACCCTTGTCACATGAGGTTTGGGGACCATACCAAGGACCTGCTCAAAGGCAAGGGACATCAGTAGGCACTGGGCCAAGCCTTTATTGACAGCATATAATGCCAAGTGCAGAGCTTATCTGATTCAGTACCTGTTTTCCTGAGTGTACCGGATTGAGTATGTAGCTATATATAAAGATACGAGCATGAATGCAGTGTGAAAGAACTTGCAACTGCCAGTACAACAGGATAAACACTTGAAAACTTATTCCATACCCCTTTTTTATCCAATTTAATCTCAGCATGAAGAATGAAATCCTCAAGAATGGCCAACCATCTATGGTACATCAAATGTCAGTTTTGATTCATTGTAATTAAGATTTCTGAAACCATTGATGAAAACTGCCAGAGTCAATATGGGGTGATGGTACAAAACATGGGTTAAAAAGTGGAAAACATTTCTTAAAGGATTTTTAATTTTCTGGAAAAAAAAACACTCTCAGATCTACTCTACCTGCTCCGGTGCTGAGAACCGATTGGTTTGGATGATCCAGTTACCTCCCCTTGGAAGTCAGTGAAAGACTCATCAAGCGAACCAGACTTCGAAGCATCTTGAAAATCCTGGAAGTCATCATCTTCTGGTTTTACTACCTGGACCACAGAAATTAATGATTTTCAAAAATATATACAGAAATATGCACTTAATTAGTAATCTGCCTATGAATCCACTGAAAAAGCCTTAAATACAGATAAACAATTTAAAAAAAGGAATAGACAAGGCCCTACAAAAAGGCATTAAATGATACTGAACTGGTCCATGTGAACAAAATCTATTGCTATCTCACTTTTCTACAGCTCTATGGACAGAGTGAATTTTGTGTTAGAAGCTGACACCTTTTATTCATCCATGAAATAAGCAGAGCGTCTGCTGTACAAAGTTCCTCCCACTGTCCCACCAACATACCTAGACCTTGCTTCTGACGATCCATTTCTAGATGCCAGATGATTTACTCTGCGTATCATTTAAAACCCTTTAAGTGAAGGCATTAAAACAGGCAAGAATGGTGTCGGTGTGGTAACTGCATCCATCACTGGCATTACAGCACTATAGAAACTGATGGTGCAAATTACAGCATCAACGCTGTTAGCTCGTACAATGCCGAATATTTTGACATTTCGCTGTATTTATCTGATATGTCCAACCTATCATCTACGCTTTTAAAGGCCAACATTTTTTTTACTGACGCTACCCAACAGTTGATGCCTCCAGCTTCCTCCTGACAGTCTAGCGATATGCCTACTCATTATCAATACAAAGTTCTGTGGTGTGATGAAAGTTGGAACTTGAAGGAAAGGGTAATTAAATTTGCCATCCCATTAAAACAGAGGGAATGCTGTAGGAATTGTACTATTGATTTTCATATTTTAAATCAATAGGCCTATCACAGAACCTCTGGTCTGCCACACCACAGAAGAACAGCCAGTTAAGTTTAGGCACACCTTGCTAGTGCTCTATTTCAACTCCCCACATCAACTTGGTGATCAGACACTACAGTGCCTTATACAAGGTTTCCAAGTGGAGCCTACTTTGAACAGCAGATGATAGGTGATCTTTTGGTTTTATTATTTCTGAGGTCTGAATGCTAATTTATGTTTTAGTTTCCATTCCTGGGTTGCAACTTTTTAATCCGTCTTTTGAACAAAGAGGTCATAACAGACTTGAGAGAGAAGCAGTTGCAGCTGAAATTATTTTCCACAGGAGCTCCTGGCCACTAGTAGACCCGTTACCAAGATCACTCAGTGTGCTATATACACTAAAGTCAGGACAGATTTACAGAGGACAGACAAGAGAGGTATAAAAATCCCACAAGTCAAGAGAGGGAGGCAGCAGTTACAGAGTGGATACTGGGCACAACTCCAAAGCATCCAGAAATGTTTGCTCAGTTCAACAGAACATGGATTTTTCAATTACCTAGGCTTAAACATTTTTTGTTTTTATATTTTAAGCACCGAAACCATGAAGGTATAACCCAGAGTGACATGGCTGAGTGATATCAGTTCTCTTTATTGTTTCAAAAAAATTTGAGAAAGACTCAAGCTATTTCATGTACACCAGACAACTCAGCTATTCCATCTTTTGCATGTTGTCCTATTTACTCTAACGATGATATAGTAATTACTAGCTTTTGAATCAGGATATTCTTGCTTTCTGCGATATAGCTTTGCAACAATTTCTATTCCTAGCTAACCATGGAAATAAAGGATAATGGGCCACACACTCTTGCTTTCTTTCCTCCAAACTATGATGCATTAACTCATGTAAATCTTTACTTGTTGCTTAACATTCCTGTAACTCACCTCAAGAGGTTGGCGAAGCATGAAATGAAGACTTGGTAATATTTACAATTCACGCTAGATATAAGGAGTTGCACAACATGAAAAAATCTGTAAACTAAATTTGGTGATTGCTACACTTCTGCACAGTACCCTGAATATCTGTATTAGCAAAGAGTATGCTAAAAACAAGCCTGACATTACAGGGAAATCAACCAGCATTGAGAAGTCCAGATCAAAAAAAAACCCAACCATGTAGCAATTTTTCAGGCTCCAAAAAAATTGGAACAAAATTTCAAAGATCCTGTTCCACACAACCATGGTAAATAAATGATGACAACAACAACCCTAGAAGATGTTTAGGGTTGCAATACATGTTCAAAAGATCTGTTAAATATAACATTTCATTTTGTTCACATGAATGGCCCAGATACTGAAACCATTAAAATTAAAATTGGCCAAGTTATCTTTGAATATAAGAAGAACATTATGCAGGCAAATCACTAAGTACACACAGCAACACATCAAAAGAAATTATGTGGATTCAGGACAAACCAAACTGACTACCAAGATCAGTTTCTGTTTCTAGAAAGCACTGGGTATTAGGCAGATCTTTTTCTTTGTCTTTGGTGCCAAACTTTCTTTTCTACCTAATGGACCTCCTTTTCATTTTACCAGTCAGGTAACAGGCACCCCTGTTTAGTTTACACACAACTCACTTTAAATACTGTATCATCTCAGCCGTAACCAGAAGCATCTTCTGTGATAGGAAAGTTTCAAAATGGAACCTATCCTTTTTCATTTCACTTGGACAGGTTGAAACCAAGTGGCTTACAGTAGTGTGGTTTTACATTGCCAAAAAGGGCACGTTCTAGATTTCCGTTTCATTTTTATGGCTTACTTAAAATCCAGTTTTCGTCACGAAGCCCTGATACAAAGTCGGGCTAATTCCTTTTCAGGGATAACAGGTTTATCATGCAATACAAAGAGCACCAACCTGATTTGTGGGGTAAGATGGCATGAAACCACTAGAAACCTGTGTTGTAGCTCCACCCACTGGTGTTGTTATGTTTAATCCTATGACTGCTTGTCCAATGTTCAGAGGCATGGAGACTGGTGGTCCAGAGGGCATCATAGGCTGCTGACTCACTGTAGCAGGTAATGAAATTGGAAATCCACTTAGAGTAGGGACAGGGGCAGTTGGAAATTGGTTTAAAACGTCAGGACTCATTGCAGGTACTCCTCTCTGTTAAGGGGAAAAATAAAGACAGCTGTATGCAGTGCATGTTACATACGAGTATTCCTTCTTTAGGTGTTGTTTCCCAGCTAAATTTATGCCACTAAACTAGGAAGCAGCAGAGACTGTCAACCTTGATTTCTGCCTTTTGCTAGCAAAGAGTCAGAGTTTGATGCGATTAAGGTGAATCCTACTTAAGACACCTGATGCTGAAGCCGACACAATTTATGGCACAGTGCTAAAGCCCGGACAGGTTCACAGACTCACTCGGAGTTCTTGCGCTCTTTTTAGTCAGTGGATTGGGTAACCACCAGCTAAAGCCAAGCTGAACATGATTTGTTGCTGTTTTGCCCCCTCCCAAACAGCTCTGATGAAGTACAACAGAACTGACCTTCACTGTCCAAGCTACAGTCCAGGTTTCTTTTATGCCAACTTTTAGCCTTACTACAGATTATAAGATTTGCATTGTGGTTTTTTGAGATTTCAGACAAGTTTCAACTCAAACTAGAAATATGTGCGACATTTCACTAATGACCCAAAACAAACACTGAAACTGAACAGCTAGCAAAGCTCCTCTACTGTTCAAGTCCTTAAATATATAGCTGTAGGCACAGGATTGTCTTCTAAATAAGGATGCACAGAGCAGAATAGAAAAAACACATCCAATTTTATATGTGCAAAAAAATGCAAACAGGTATCAAGAGAGAGAAATAAAATCAGCTATAAATGCAGAGGGTGAAATCAGAGTTTTGCTGAAATGAACAGGCACTTTGCTGTGGACTTCAGCATAGCCAGTATTTTCACCTCACCGTTTAAGCACATGTTTAGGCTCAACATACAGCAGAAGAGTTACATGAGTCATTTACAATGCAGCGAGGGGAGATTAGTCTCTCTTTCCAGTCCAATGCAAATTCTTAGTCAATCATACCTGAGTTACTGCAATCATAGCCAGGACAGTATAAAGTTCTTCTTTTGTAAGTTTCCCAGGTGTGGTACGGTTGGCTAAAGCCCATATTTGTCCAAGGGTTTCTCTGGGAAGTCCAGATGACATCAAAATGGGATAGAGTTTAGCAGTATCTATTCCAGTAGCAGTCATAGTGTTTTCTAAAATTTTCTTATATAATTCTGTTAAAAAGAAAACAGTGCTGGATGATGAAAGCTGCATATTTTTCAAGTGATTTTCCATTCCAACCATAAAATTACATTAAGGGTTACAATACTGTTGACATGGAATGTTATTCATTTGATGAAACATCCATTCTCTGGCATCATGTCTGAACCTCCCATTCTGTTTATATTCAACTAAAATTAGATATTCAAGTTGAAACAAGCAGGTTAGGACAGAAGTCCTAAAAAAAAAAAAAAAAAAAAAAAAATCCTAAAAGAAGTCCAAAAAAAAAAAAAAAATCCAAAAAACCCAAGAGCCAGAGAGTATTGTTAATTATCAAAGAAAGTGCATAAGTGTCATGCATGTTACTGCACAACTCTGCCAAAAAGCTTGAAGCCTGTTGGAAGTATCCTTCAGTATCACCCAAGGAAAAGAACATAACATGACTCATTAAACAACTTACATTTAAATCTGAGATGATTAAATGCATCCGTATTTATATCAAGGTATTTCCCAGTGACCAAATCACTACCCAAGAGAACATCTGGCCGAAATTTGCCATTTCCCTTTCTCTGAACATGCAAGTCAATGAAACATGCTGCTTACAATAGGTTTTCAGAAATTTAGAAGGCACTCAACTAGATCAAGTCTGCCAGTGTAACTGGTCTATTCCATAGCACAATTCAGGATCTGACATTACGAAAGACTTCTAGCTATTCCTCCAGACACTAAAATAAATTACCTTAAGCCTCACCAGATTTCAGCAGATTTACTGTACCTACTAGATGCAATAAAAGACTTATAGTCTAAGACTAACACTGTCATCATGAAACTGGATATCAACTGATCACTGACACCTATGCAAATCCACACAAATGGATACAAAGCACAACTAATTCTCTTTTATAAATATCATTGCATATTTTTATACCAAGGTCTCAGGATAACCCTTGTAAAAGATAGCCACAGCAGAATTATGTAGTTAAAATTCAGCACCATCAATATTTAGCGTGACACTTCATTTCCTGTTTACTATGCTTCTTGCATACAGAAAGCAAATAACCTTAAGAAATGAGTCTGCTTAATTACAAGATACTAGAGGGAGACAGCCCACAAAAAACAGAGTATCAACAATGGCAATTCCTCCTAGGATAATTTGCCATCATTACAACCTCAGGATTAAATATTGACTATGTCTGAAGAAACTCCTGCCTTCTCTGAATGCAGATAAAGGTACCAAAGCTAGGTTATGCATCAAAAACATGTTCTGAAATGCTTGCCAGTTTGTGCCCCAGTCTGAGCTAAGGTAAAAACACTGTCTGAATAGTCTCCTCAATGCCCTACTTGGAAAGGATGATCCTGGTCACTGGTGTGGTTTGCTAATGCTGCTATCAGATCCAACAAATATCATACATATTTAGACAGTAATACGAAAAACCAAGCCCTTGGGAGAGGATTTAAAAAAAAACTTGACTGGCAGTTTAAATGAGCGGACTAGAAATTTAATCAGCCGTACTTCCTACATGTAGCCAAAGAAAAAAAATGCTGATATTAGCCAGCAGATGTTCAGACAAACTTTGCAATACAAACAATGGTGGCTGGAGGTGTGGCAACTACATCACTGAATGGACACCTAAAGTTAAGCTTGCGTGTTTGCATTTATACACACCACATATGGTTGTCCACTGGGGAAAATATGATAGTTCATGGTCCTACTCAAAGACTAACAGTACTGTAGTTACCAGGGACATAGCTAAGTCATCTTTTTGCATTAGGCCAGTCAGATTAGAAAATCATACCACACCTTTCTGGTTCAAAAATCTAGTCCTTTATTTTTGATGCCATGAAGCAACTTGGATTGTTTCCTTGGCTGGTGTCACCTTTATTCTTAATGAGTGCTGTTCAAACATTCACACACAGACTAGTATTACTCACTTCAGGAAAAAGATATCTATATTTGATTTTTCAAGCCAAGAACGAAAAATAAAAACCTACAGTATTCGAAAGGTCTATATCAAATCTGAAAAGGGTTGGGATTTGAAATTTTTATAATAGATTTAAAAAAAAAAAAAAATCGGCATAAAAGATTGAGCAGCATGCGGTGTACACATTATATTATATTTTTATCTATAAACAATATTTCTGCAAAATATTTTTTACCTGGAACCAAGCTATCATTGTAAATCCAAGGTGGCATCATCTGCTGGATTGGGTCCTGTGAAGGGAACACTCCAACACCTAAAAGTATGCCATTCATTAGAAAGAAGAAGAAAAAAAGAAACAATCATATTAGCAACACCGTAATTCAAAATAGGATGATACCCATCACGTATTTTAGTACTTCAGCCAACACATGGACCAGTTTAGCTACAGAAGACACAAAAATTCGTTACCTCTCCCTGAAAAGTAGTATGACTTGAAGCAGTAACAAAAACAATTAACTGCACACAATGAGATAAAGAGCTATTCATTTTCCAACCTTAGCTGTTTGAAAAGGAGTATGGGTCTTATGAATTCCAAACATGTCATAAATAGTTCTCCCATTTCTACAAGCATAAGGCGAATGGGAAGGAAGTTCGTTGTTCATGGAGTAACTGAACTTAGTCATGTATCTACTGAAACAAATGTAGGGATTCTTCACTGCTTGATTAAAAAAAGAAATCCTTCCTAGTAAAAGCAACAAAGATAATCTGTCATACTGGCTTTCCCCATTAATCTCCCCTTTCCTCCCCTGTTGCAAAAAAATAAAATAAAATAAACACATGTGCATTGCTTCATTACATCTACTCATTCTGGTTGAATGAGTTGTTTGCTATTGCAAGACTCCAGCAATACCGTCAGCTCTCCCCAGACCCCTATGCTTTCACTCTCTAAATTCAAAAATTATGTTAAATTTCCCACCATCCCCACTCAGGAAAATTGAGTTTGACATTTTTTACCCCCTGGTCTGGCAGCCCCTCACTGGATTTGATCCTTGCCCGAGACGTCAGTCAAGATTCTAACATACTCTTGACCTCTGCAGCCTTTTTGCTTTGCCACTTTTACTTTTCCTGCCTGTTCTTTTCATGCTGGTGATCAATTATCTGCTCTTTACCTCTTATTTTTATAATCCTCCTTATATCACCCATGTCCTGGTTATGGCTGATCACCCACCCCATAAAAGCATTACTCAGGAAGTGACCTTCTCTCCACTCTAAAGAACCCTGACTTGCATATTCTCTCCTAACTGATTTGTGTGCTTGCCTTCCCTGTTGCTGGCCCTCCTCCCACAGAGATCTGCTGTAAAAGCACAGGGATCTGGAACACTGCTTTGTCCTCTGTTTCTCATCAGCTCTCTCAGATCTCAGGTTTCATTTCTTTGCAGGCCAGCTGTGGACCTTCTTGTATGCCAGTTGCTGACTTGAGAACAAGTAATGAATTCTCCAAATTCATCCTTTAGCTAATTTAGACTCTATAGGGATTCCCTCTTGACCACAAAAGTCTAAATTTCCACTCATCCCTCACTTTCAAGGGTGTTGAAGACAGGAGTTGTCTTCTTCCATAGCAGTCAAGTAAGAAATGTTTGCTTCCTTCTTTCAATTGAAGTTTGCTGTCACTTGTAGCTTCTTTGCTCTTCATTTGTCTTCAGACGTTCTCATTTCCCCTCCTCTGTCTCCTTCAGTTCTCCCATTCCTGC